GGGGGGTCAGGTCATCCCATAAGGCTTGACTCTGGGGTCAGGGTTTGGGTTAGGGGGGGTCTTGGCGACAGGAGACCCCCCCTCCCTGTGGGGTAAGTGGCTTGTGAGATTTAGGGGTCAGGAACTTGATATACCTTTATAAAATTTCACCTCCCTCCCTCTAGAATAGGGTTTCCCCAACCTTTGGGGTCTTGACCCCCCCCAAGAGGGGCTACAGAGGGTTTTCTAAGGGGTCTGTGTTGTAGCCCTTGTTAAATAGCTTTTTCCTAGACTTTTCAGAGCAAGAGAATATAAAGTTCGAGTTTAGGAGAAACAGGCCCCTTTGCAGGGGGAGAAAGAAGTACTTTCTGAGAAGGGAGGACTTGACCCCTTAAAAATAGCTTTTTAATTTAAATACGGCGAGGGGTGACAGGTGACTTGGCTAAAATTGTGACTTGGAAAAGGTTGGGAGCCACCGCTCAAGAATCAGGTGGATTTGTGGAAATCGGATGTTGTTTGGTAAAAGTCTCAGGAGGTGAGACTCAAAAAATGTTGTCCCTGAGGTGTGTTATTATTCCTTTTTGGGAGTGCTTCCGAAAGGCTGGAGCAATTTGTGGAGGAAGGGTAAACCTAACCCTGTAATTTAGTCTCAGGATTCGCTTGCCGCGAGATATGATAGTAAAATAGGTTGCTTTTTTGAAAGATGATGTTGGGAAGTGATCTCGAAACAGGGTTAGGCAAGATTGTGGTGGGCTGGTCGTTGAGTATGGCATCCACGTGGAGCCTCCATGTACCGTAACAGTTCACCTGAGAACAACAGACGCTAGGGACATCATATTTGACCTAGCAACCGGGGTTGCAAGCTTTCCACCGGCATCTGTCCAGATGTGAGAGTAGGCTGACACCTCTTACGTTTGTATAATCTTAAGGACCACACGATTTTTTCCTGATTTTTTCCGGGCATCTGCGCAACTGGGCACTTGAACTGGAAAAGTGGGCTTGACCTGACACCTCCCACAAGTATTCATATAAATCTCGTGGGATAGATAAGAATTGGTGCCATAAAGACCCCACCCCACCCCTCTTTTACTTGTAATTAAACAAAAAAAAGGAAATGGGTAGGTCACAAAAAATTGGAAAATTGTGGCATGTCCAGCCTAGAGCTGAATTCAGAGTGCTGGTTTTGATCTATAGGTCCCTAAGCGGCTTGGGCCCAAGTCATCTCAAGGACCGAATCTTCCTTTATGAGCCTGTCTGGGCAATTAAGATCATCAGGGGATGGCTTTCTCCCAGTCCCACCACCCTTGCAAATACTTGAAGGTGAGGACGAGGGAGAGCGCCTTCTTGGTCCTAGACTGTGGAACTCTCTCCCACTGGAGGCCAGACTGGCCCCATCGTGGCTGTCCTTCCACAAGCAGGTGAAGCTTTTCCTAAGTGACTGGCTGCCTGAATAGGGTTTTGAAATGGATGGTTGTGCCTTATTGCTTTGAATGTGTTTTGCTATACTGTATATATTTTAGTATTTGTTTGATCCCTTTTGTATCTGTAAACTCACCATTGTTAGTTTTAAATACTTTTCTTTTAATGATGTAAGCTGCCTTGGGTTCTTTTTAAGGAGGAAGGTGGGGTAAAAATATTTTAAATAAATACACTGGGAATAGATGTAGGCTTTCAGCTCATATCTGCTGTGTCTGCTTTAGAGTACAGCGTTCTTGGGGATACAGGGGTGTCAAGCCTGATTTTTGTGCATAAGTGACCTTCTATGCACTAACCACACAAGTGCTAATTCACGAGTATTCATACGTAAAAATGTAGCATCCAGGGAGCAACATTTTTGTCCAAGAAGAGGTAAATTCTGCAGCTGGGGAGGCACTGCAGAAATAAAAATGCATTCACGCTTGCTTGAGAGTTGCTTTTGTCCTAGCTTGTTTTTTCCCTGTTCGGCCGTTCAGGCTGGAAGTGGTCGAAAGATAGTTAAAAGATAGTTAGCATTACTCTTACACTCCTGTTGATTTATGGAGCAGCCAGTTTTGTGGATCCTACAGATATTCCCTCCCAGGGCATGAACAATAATAGTGAAACTCAAGATTTTTTTAAAAAAAACAACAACACCCTCCACTGTGTCTGGCTTCATCACTTATCTCCTGAACTTCATTCTACCCCATTGTTACAATGGGAATATTAAGCGGCTCTCTTTTACCACCCTGTCTTTGTCAAGCTCTATTGGTGGGTTGGACCTTAATGCTTTAGAGTCCCTTTTCTGTAGTGGTTTAGGTTATGTTTGTGAAGATCTGAACTTCATTCTACCCCATTGTTACAATGGGAATATTAAGCGGCTCTCTTTTACCACCCTGTCTTTGTCAAGCTCTATTGGTGGGTTGGACCTTAATGCTTTAGAGTCCCTTTTCTGTAGTTGTGTTTGTGAAGGCGGGGTGTAGTAAGTAATTGATTCTCCCGATTTCTTTAGATTTGCCTTTAGATTTTGTTAATATGCTTTAGGGTGTTGTTAAAACAAAACCAAGCTTATTCTGTTATTTACATATTTAAAATAGTTCTATGCCACGTTTCTCCTAAGGATCCAGAGTGACTTGTAGTATTAAAAGAAACAAAACTAAAAGCTAAATAATAAATTGTTGTTCTCTGCTGTCAAGTTGCCTCCAACTTAATACTAACCCCCATGAATGAGCTTAAAAGAAACAAAATGAAAAGCTAAATAATAAATTGTTGTTCTGTGCTGTCAAGCTGCCTCTGACTTAATAGTGACCCCCATGAATGAGTGATCTCTAAAATGTTCTGTCCTCCCCTCTTTTAAATTCAAGCCTGTGGTTTCCTTTAGGGAGTCAGTGCATCTCGTATTCGGGGTCTTCCTCTTTTCCTGCTGCCTTCTACTTTTCCCGGCAGGATGGGTTTCCTGCTGCCTTCTACTTTTCCCAGCAGGATGGGCCTTTCCAGAGAATCCGGCCTTCTTGTGAGGTGCCCAACGTCCTTCTCGTGAGGTGCCCATAGTATTACAATAGTTCAAAAACATTAGACAGGTATTATATTAAACATCACAAACAAGGACAGTCTTTAAAACACAAGCATAAAACAACAAAATAAAATGATCACTACAGGCCTGAAGTCTGTTTACTCCTGGTTTAAGTCCCCGCGTCGCATGGCTCTGCCCGGCCTCAATTAGAGTCCTTTTGCAATTAGAGACTCTTGGAGAGTGTGGGCGGCATACAAGTTGAATAAATAAATAAATAAACAGACCTGCGTATCCTGTTTCTAACCTAGATGCTTCCAGGAGACTCTCAACCAAAGTGTGCAGTCCGTATCCCACTGAGCACCTGATATTTTATGCTACTCGTCTTGTGAACTTGAGTTTGTCCTAGTGGTTAATAGCTTTTAATAGACCAGTTCCCCGTGCTTTTGTCTAACTCAGGACGGAGAAGCTCGATCAGTGGCTCCTGCCCTTCACTCCCCAGATGTTCTTGGACTAAAACAGTCAGAAGCTTTCAGGGCTAGCTGCTGTGGCCAGGATTTCTGGGAGTTGTAGTCCACGAACATCTGGGGACCCCAGATTGGGAACCACTGACTAGAAGTTTTGTATTCTCAGACCTGTAAATCTTTTGCCGTTGCCTGTGCTGGGGATCCGAAGAGCTTGTTTGGATGTAAAGGGAAGGTCTGATTAAGGAAAGTCTCTGAACACAGGTAGAATCCTTGACGAGTCTTCTGTTTTTGCAGGGCCACGGTGGAGGGGAGCCCTCGTGCAGTCAGCCGCCTCCGTGAGGTGTGAGCCAGGGCCCGGCGGGGGCGCAAGTCTCTCGGCTTGTGAGAGGTACGTGCCAGGTTTGGGCGATGGGCCTCGGGCAAGGTTTCGGACCTTTGCTACTTGCCTGAATGTCTTCTTCTGAGTTCCATCGTCCATCTGACCTGGTCCTCGCAGACCTCAGGCCTGTGGGCGTTCGTTCCGAGAGAAGCCCATAAAATGTCCAGCCAGAATCCAGGCCTCCTCAGTAGCGGCACCCTCTCTCTGGAATGCCCTCCTGCAGGGAATAGGCCGGGCACCTTCCCTCCGTACCTTTAAGAAGCATCTGAAAACAGCCTTTTACAGAGGCCTTTGAAGAGGAAGGGATGGAGAAGGAAAAAGGAGAGGAATGATGGATGAGGGGAAACTGTTATTTTTAATTCCCCATCTTGTTATCTGTAATTATAGCCCGTTTGTGTCTTTTATAGTTGATTTGATAATGTATGTTTTTTGTACAGTGGTGCCCCGCTAGAAGATTATCTTGCAAAATGACGAATCTGCATGACGATGGGTTTTTGTGATCGCTATAGTGCTTCACAAAACAGTGTTTCCTATGGGTGATTTTCACTATACGTGCTTTGCAAGATGGTTTGTTTGTTTCTTTGTTTTTTGGAACCGATTTTTGCAAGACGACAATTTTGACAGCTAGGTCCGCGACTCGTAAAACGGATGTTTTCGGGACCAATTTTCGCAAGACAGCAATTTTAACAGCTGATCTGTGCTTCACGAAACATTCGCAAGACGGCAATTTTAACAGCTGATCCGTGTTTCACAAAACAGTTTCCCTCTGGGCAATTTTTGCAAAACGACAACAGTTTTTCCCTATTGAAACGCATTAAATGGATTTCAATGCATTCCAGTGGGGAACCGCATTTCGCAAGACGATGTTTTCATAAGACAGCAATTTTTGCTGAACAAATTAACATTGTCTTGCCGGGCACCACTGTATTTTGTTGTACACCCAGAGTAGCGGATTGGGCAATATAAAAACAGTGAGTGAATGAATGAATGAATGAATTTCAGGTTGGAATTACTTTGGCTTTTTAAATGTAATTTGCCAGCCTTTTCTCCAACCGGCCATTTCGATCTTTGGGAGAGCCCTATATTTTATTTGCCCATAGCTGTGGAAAAGCTGGGGGGCTGTCTACAGATGGCTGCAGAAAGATCAGCAGTGTAACCACAAAGTCAAAAGATTTATCCCTGTAATGGAAAAAAAGATAGATGATGTCAGTTATTGAAGATCTGTAAACCTGTGTGCCTTTTTATGAAGTTTGGAAGTAGGGCGAGACATGAGTGATTTGGTTGCTCAGTCACCTGACCTTGCTTTTGAAAGGCTCTGTGACGGTTTTTCGCCTCTTTCCTCCCCCCGTTCTGTTTAGGGCTTTCCTCTCGCTTCTCTCCACAATGCCCCAAGCCTCCGAACATCGCATGAGCCGGGCCAGAGATCCATCGGTCATCACCTCTCAGCCGAAAGCCGGCAGCAAGCTCCCAAACGGACACCGGGCCCCGAGCCAAGAGCACCGGCCTTGCTGCTCGTCCTCCGCCATCGCTAACGGGCTTTCCACCGCATCCAAACTTCGGCCCTTGCCACCCCGGCCGAGCCCTCTGGACGACAGGGGCAAGAAGCTAGAGTCGGACAGAGGCCGGCCCTCCAAGCGAAGCGAGGCGCTGCGCGGCACGGCCGCCCGCCGCGGTCCGGTCAAGGCGGACCACGCTCTGAAAGTTCCCGGATGCCCGCAGGCCAGCGGGACCATCTCCGGCAGCACCTCTTTCACCATGCCTCCCGGGGTGCTCCTGGGCGGGCCGGACTCCGACCGCCGAAGAAGCAACCTGCTCCGCTCCAAGTCCATCAGCATCGGGGACTTGAGCCAGGCCGGCGTCCCCAGGGAAGAGCAGCTGAGTGCCGCCTTCAGCCGCCTGGCCCTCCGAGACCACAGCCCCTCATGCGGCCACCACAAGCTGGGCCTGGGCGCCGCCCTGGCGCTGAAGAGGAGCTCCTCCCTCCGCCGCGTCAACGTCACCGCCGGGCTGGACGGGAGGCCGGCCGCCACGCTGCTGTCCGTCCGCACGGAAGGCTGCCCAAGGACTCGCCCCACGGAGCCGCCGACCCTGGACTACATGCGTTCACAGGACCTCCCGCTGTCGACGAGCCCTCCCCAGAGCAAAAGCCCTGGATCCGGCAGGCTGGAAGAGAAGGCAGCCACCGTAAGGGACCGACTGGGGAGCGGTGGGGAGCGCCGTAAAAACCGTGAGGGCCGCCGTTTCCAGCCTCGGGCTCCCCAGACATTCTTGGACTACAAATCCCACGAAATCCTGGCCACCAGAGCCAGTGGTGAAAGCTTTTGGGAGTTTGTAACATGGGACAAGGAATCTTTTAGTCCTCCAGATCCTGGCCTGGGACTCCCGTTGACCCCATCCAGTATGCCCCAGAGCAAGGGAGCATGGGAGTTGTGATCCAAAAATGTCTGGAAAGCCAGAGGCCCGTCCCTTCCTAGCAGAATGCTCAGCTACTACATTTCCCGGCATTCCTTGTGGGAGGCACACCATAAAAGCAGAGCCAGGTTTAAGTGGCTTTGCCTGGATTAAACATGTTTAAATGGGTTTATCGGCCATCCAGTGAGAGGTGAGGAGGTGGAGTGTATTTCTGCAAATCCTGCACATACCCTGCTCCGTCGGTATTTTTGGAAAACCACCTCTCTAGGATTCTTTGAGGGGATTTGTAGCAATTCTTCGCCCTCTAAAGTTGCTTCTTAAAGTAGAAACGGTTAAGGATCCTCTTTGGTTTTTTTGCTGCTGATACGGGTCTCCCTCTTTGCACTTTGTTTTCATAGACGGACGCTGAGCGTCCCCTACCTGCGTCTTAGCCATTCCTCCTCGGGGGCAACCTGTGATCTTTTAGACATTTCTGGACTACAGGTGCCATCATGCCCGAGTGGCAGAACCTGTCGTGTGTGGGCTCATGGGAATTGTAGTCCATTCAGATTTGGGGGTTCACAAGTTTCCCATCCCTGCTGTCAAGCTTGAGCAGTTTGAAAGTTTCACCTTGCGTCTTGCACTTCCAAGTGGAAACAGAAAGTGAGGCCTGTCTTTCTCTACTCTTGAATCCTGCCGGAAAGCTCATGCCTTGGCCCGTCTCAGAGATCCTTTCTCACCTGCAGCCCTAGGATGCCGGTTTGAAAAACAGTTCTTTCAAACGTCGTCTAATGCACGTGTAAAATATGGCTACTCCTCGCCTCTGAGGAAGGCCACCTCTGGGCCTCCGTATCAATTATTTACCACAGAAAGTGAGGCCTGTCTTTCTCTACTCTGGGCCTCCGGATCAATTATTTACCGTTGTGTAAGCGTTGGCAGCTCTCCCAGGCAGATCAGATTCCTCAAGGCAGTTGCTGGTCCATCTTGAGATCTGTCGCTTCGGTGCGTCTCGGAAGACGCTGGCTTCTTGCGCCCATCGCCTGCGCGCGCACCTGCCTTTTCTGTCTGACTTCTGTCTCCTGTCTCTTTTGGTTTCTGATTGCGTGGCGAAACGGTGGCTGGCGCGAAGCAGCCTCCAGAGGTGGGTGGGTGGGTGGATTTTATGTTTCCAAACCCACCCACCCCGGTTGGACTGGCCGTTTTTACAGCCTATGGATCGGGCACCAAGTCCATACGTGTGACTGTCTTGATATTTGGAAGCCTGAGGCTGGCAGGGAATGATGGAGAAATGGAAAGAAAACATTTCTACTGATCCCTTCGTGGAAGTGCATGGTTTCCATAGAAACAGATGTATGGAACGATAGGCGTGGAAGTGTCCCCCGATACCCTGTGACTACGAAGGAAGTGTTTTGAAAGCGAGGGCTAAAAGCAGATGCCACCTCAAACCTGAGAGCAAAAATCCCATCAGCTCCCCGTAAAGCTGTGCTGCACATCCAGGTTAGAGTCAGGCTCTTCCCCCAGATCTCTGTTTTTAGGACAAAACGCCAGCCTTTGCAGGGCTGCGCGCCTTGCCCTGCGTTCTTCCTCGCGCCTTGTTTCCTGAGCAACGCTTGTCTGCTCAGGCCTTAGCCCATCTCTTGCCTCTCCCCGTGGTGTAACTGCTAATCCATTCCCCCCGGGAGAAATGTTCACTGGCAGTCTCAGCAATGCTGTGTAACTCTTCGGCCTGCCCCGCTTGGCACGGCTTGTGGGACTGGGAAGCCGGGCGAAGAGGGAGGGATGGGACGGCCCCGTTGGCCTGTTGCGAAGTCACGAGATGAGCATGTGCTTGGCAGCAGACTCCAGCGAGCCCTGGCGTGTTTTCTTGGCCCGTACCTTTCCGTCTGTCTAATCTCTATCTGTCTGATAATATTTTTCTTTCCTTCCTTGGGACTCGAAGCAGCTCCCATCAATTTTTTTTTTAAAAGAAGGTCAGGTTAAAATTACACAGTCATTTTAAAATGGAATGAACTTGTGATATTTAAATGTAACTCCGCTGAAATTAGGAACATTTTTTTAAAAAATCACATTATTTGAAATAAGAAATTAATTTCTTAATTTCAAAAGCGCGGTGCCTACCCAAGCCTTAATAGTTCAGTGGTTGTGCAGCCAGAGACTGGGAGTCCAGTTCCCCACTGCGTTTCTTTGACAGAGGCTGGCCTTGATAATCCGTAGAGTCCCTTCCAGCTCCGCAGGTCTAAGATGATGATGATGATGATGATTAAATGACCTGTCTTTAGCATCCCGCCTGTCAGAAAAAGCCTGAGCAGCAAGGGCTTTGCATGATGGCCAGTGGACAGCAGGACAGAACTCAGGGTCTCCTCCAGGAATGTTGGCAAGCCTTGGGACCCCACGCCCGAGGCCTGGGTTCGAGTCCCAAGCCCTCCCCAGAGCCTGCGAGTCAAATCCAAATCAAGTTGCCAAGGCGACTTAAGTTGGACTGGACGGCCAGTCCTCATTCTTGGTCTCTACCCCTGGCAGGGAATTCTGCAGTCTACGAGCAGCCACTGAAAAGAACTTCTTTCGCACTTTCTCTGTTATAACTTGGAGAATTGTAGGTTCCCTCCTTAAGATCTCAGAGTCCAGGTATAGGAGAATATATTCTTTCAGACAGCCCAGGTAGTTTGGCTGTTAAGAACGTGGCCAAACTGCCCGAAAAACCCACAATCACCAAGGACCGCCCGGCCATGAAAGCCTTCGAGAATACATAGCCCAGATACTCCTTGTTTTGATGATACACTGGCTCTCCCAGGAATGTGGTAGTGGTAGGCGCCTTAGACTCTTTATTTATCATAACTTATTTTTGTTGTCTCCTTCTCTCTTCCCCCCCCCCCGGCTCCATGGTGCTCCAAACAGCCACGGTTCCCCAACGTAGCTCGTCTTGCTAATTAATCCCACCGAGATGAGCCTCCAGAAGATCCACAAATAGCTTGGGGGAAATCGGATCATCTCATGAGCCGGTGGCTTATAGGGACAGTGGGGGAGGGACCCAGCCGTCCTCTTTTTCCCACTTGCCCGCTGCTCGAGGGGAAGCGCACCTCTTCCCGGCCCTCTTCCCGTCAGTCTCGTCCTCCGCTTGGACGCGGAGCCATGCCGGGCCTCCCAGGGGCCACGCTGGTAGAGCTGCCTCGGAAGCTCCACCGCACCTTGGCCACCAAGCGGGAGCTTCACGGCCGGGCAGCGGACATCTCTGAGTCGGTGGTCCACACGGCGGTGATGGGGCTGCTGCTGATGACCGGCGAGGTAACTCGCTCTCCGTGGCCTTTGGGTTGTGTCCCCCGGCATCGGGGTGCGACCGGTTCCCCGGTGGTGGAGCCACTGGGCGAGGAGGTGGGGGACCTCAGATCTCTTTTGGATGAGGCTCAGTGTGAGTGCCGGATGCCTTTCCTTGATTCCACGCTGGTCTTGTTGGATTCTTGAGTTAGAGCGAGGCGGCAGCAAGCAAGCCTTTCCTCCTGGACCTTCTGGAGGTCTTCCCACTGTCAGGAAAAGCTTGATGTTGCCCCGTTGGTGGCGTTGAAGTACGGTTTGCCTGCTGGTACTGCGAGATTCCGCTTGCCAACGACCCAGAGGGGCCGGTCTGGCCTTCCATCAAAACCTCTTACAGGACGGCTGCCTTTGGACTTTGCGAGAGGGGGCTTTTAAATCTAACCACTGAGAAGAAGACTCCTTTTTCAGGGGCGTCCCGTTGTGTCTGTTCCTCTTTTCGCTGCTTTGTGCTGGGGTGCTCGGGTGGGCCTTGGGTCACGCGTGGAAAATGTGGCTGCCTTGAAGAGCAGCAGCATGAGATGAAATCCCTCCTCTTGCTTTGAAGAGCGGTTCAAAAGCAAAGATGCTTCTTTTCTCTTTTTTTGCGTTTGGCCTCTCGGGGGGCCCTCCCCTCCTTTCCTAACAGTGGAAAGCCTGCGCGCAGGCTTTGAGTTGGACACTGGTGGCCCTCCTTGTTTTGTTGGACTCCAGGTCCCATTATCCTTGGTGGTTGGTTGCGATGTTGCGGCCCTCCCACCTCTGGAAGGCCCACCTCTTCTTGACGCTCAGAGTAAAGGGAGGGTGGGGGCAGATGGCTTCTGTGGTTGTTGGTTGTGGGGCTCCTTCCTTCCTCTTGAGCTCCCTGCCGGCCTTGACCGAAATTGCCACGTAATTTCCGAGAGTGTCCATCTTTGTGGCTTTTCGTACACAAGCTAATTTTCTAGCTGCTGCTGTTCTCTTTGAGACGGCTGGTTTGGAAGGTGGACCTTCACCCTGGTTAGAAGGAAAGCTTGATTGTCGCGAAAGTACTGGCCCAGAAGATCATGCATTAAGAGAGGGGTCTAATTGGCCCCTTTGGCCAGAAATGATAATAGAGCATCTGCTAGGCGGGCGAAACATCCGTGCTTGTGGGGCGAGAGAGAGAGGGTTCTCACATGATGGGGATTTTTGATGGGAGGAGGTGCAGCTTTCTATGTCGAGGGTTCAATCCTTGGCACACACACACCCCAGGGCAGAGCTGGGCCCCCACCACCTGAGAACGACAAGAGAGTCACTGCCAGCAGGGCAGGGGTGGAGGGGTCAAGCAGTGGGACCCGGCAGAGGGCAAGGACTTGTAGGTTTGTAACCAGGCCGTCGTGTGGTCTGGGATGATCTCTCGGGGTGTGTGTCTCGCAGGCGTCCCCGAACGTGACTTGATCGAGCCACCCTCATGTTGAGACACCAGAGAAGCTAAACCTCTTATTGAGGCTGTCACAACTGATCCTCATCCCTCCCCCCCCCGCTTGTGTTCTCTTTCAGACGCATCACACCCTCCTGCTGGGCTCCGGGCACATCGGCCTCCGCAACCTCGGCAACACGGTAAGTCGTGGGCGATGGGCTCCCTTCCCTGCCCCCCGGAGGGCCGGGACGACCCTTTTCCCCTGCAAGGCGCGTTCTGCAAAGGGTCCCTTAAAAGCCAGAACAACATGGCACTTCCCCCCCCACACACATCTTTTTTGGCTTTTAAAAGAGATCTCAGAATAGTCAAATCATCTTAAAATGCCTTAAACTTGCAACGTCTTAGGTTAGCTTGCGATCGCTTTGGGAGAACAGCCGAGACAGGGGGTTTCTTAGTGACTTCAGGGCGTTGCAGCATCTCGAGGACTCGTGGGCCTCCCGGGAGATGGAGTTGGGTGTGCGTCCCACGGCTGGACTGAGTACGTTAAAGTGGCTGCAGGATTTGGCCTCCTCAGCCTAGGTTCAGCTGTGAGTTCTCCCAAGCCTCCGGCGTCGTCCCCTGCCTCCACTTCCCCCGGCAGCCACCACTGCTTTGCTCACGTGTGCGCATCTCTCCCTTTTCTGCCCCCCAGTGCTTCATGAACGCCGTGCTCCAGTGCCTGAGCAGTACCAAACCCCTGCGGGATTATTGCCTCCACCGCGAATTCCGGCAGGAGCAACCAGGCGCTCTGCGGACCCAGCAGGAGCTGACCGAAGGTGAGAGGGGGAAGGTTCGCCACCACCGGCCCGCCGGAAAGAAGGATCCTTTCTCGGCCGGCCTCACCCCCCAGCGCTCCGTGGGTGGGAGGGGGGTTTATGTAATCAGATCCCTGTCTGAGCTGGCTTCCGCTCGCAGATCCTCGCTGCCAACCCAGGATCCAAATCGGTCTCCGGAGGGTTTTAATCCACACCTGGTTAACCCATTATATAAGTCCCTCGGCCTTGAACGAAACTTTATATAATTAGAGTCCTTCGTTCCTGGTTTGTTCTCGATCTCTTGTGCCCCAAGAGTGCTGTCTGCACTTAGGCTTCACATTATTATTACTGCTTAGAAAGCACTTCCCCCTCCCGCAAAGCCTGTAGCTTTGGTACAGAAGAGAACTTCTGAATATCATGTTTTCAGGGTGGGGTGAGGGTATGACAATGTGTTCTTTATTTCTAACATATATACACCACCCCATTTAGTGAGGATTACTGCTGGAGGGGCAGTTTTCTGACAACGTAACATAGACACCCGCCCGCCTGCCCGAAAAACAGAAATAATAAAGTAAAACCAACCAGCAAACTCCTAAAATACAGACAAATTTAAAAAAAGCAGAAACCAAACTAAGTAATGGGGACAAACCTCGAGTCTCAAAGTGCACACGAGGCTGTCACAAAATCCCTAGTGGTGTTTCTCCCATGGGCTCTTGGTCCCGTTAAAGGGGGGAGAGGCAGGGCAAGGGGGGTGCCAGGTTCGGTGTAACTTTCTGCCGCTGGTGCCGCCTTCCACGGGACCATCCTTGCCTTCCTCTGTCTGCCGCTGGTCACGGACAAGCCCGGCCGCAGACAGAGGTAGATTTGAGAATTCTTCCTGCCACTGTCCTTCTCACGTCACCTTGGGCACCTCCCTGTTCCATGATAAAAGCAGGAGGTCCTAAGAGAGTGTCTACCTCACTTCTAAGAGGCTACGTCAGCATGAAAGATGGCAAGGTGCTTTTAGGGAATCAGCGGTGGTTGGAACCAAAAGGGGAAAGACTGACCTCTCGCTCTTTCCTCCCCAATACTCCGTCTTCCTTCCGTAGCCTTCGCAGACGTCATCGCCACGCTGTGGCACCCCGATTCCACAGAGGCCGCCAACCCCAGCCGCTTCAAAGCCGTTTTTCAGAAATATGTGCCGTCCTTTACAGGATACAGGTGAGACCAACTCCCAAGACCTGTCTCCCCAGCTGCCTTCCTCATCCACACTCCTCGTCAGGCTCCCCAACTCTCCATCCAGCCTCAGCATATCAAAGCCAAATTTAAAACAGGGCACTAAACGCTCACAAAAACCAGAAGCTCAGCAGGGAAGCAGCCGTGTTCACACAGAGTGCAAACATCTCTATTCCACTCCTCAGATACCAATTAAAAGCTTTGCTTGCTCTGTTTTGAACCAGTTGTCCTTTCTGAACAGTCTCCAAGGGTAGTCCCGCGTTGAGCGCATTGTAGTAGTCTAAGATGGAGGATAGCAAAGCGTGAGCATCTGTGGGTGTACAAAAAATCCTGTTTTGCTTTTAGGCCTCAAATATCTTCCAGAAGTCTGAGGATTTTATTGTTGATTTGCAGCTTGATCTAATTTTTATCCAAGTGTGCATAAAGCGTGCGATTCATGAGGTTATTTTGTCTTGCCATCAAGGGGACAGGCTTTTAATGGAATACTTGAATTATATGGGGTGTGGGTGTTTCTATAAGCACCAACAGTCTTAGGTTTTCCGTTTCTTGGCATAAAGGCTAGAAATTTCTTTTAAAAATACAGTGCCTCAGAAATCACATGTAGTCCTCTGCAGCCACAGGCATTTCTGGAACCCTTTGAATAAGGAATCAAATCTGGCTTGGTCTGTTTCATCCAACATTGTGTGAAAAAAAAGCAGTTCTCACGCTCGTCTCCTCTTCCGTTCTAGTCAGCAAGATGCTCAGGAGTTTTTGAAGTTTCTCATGGACCGGTTACACGTGGAGATCAACAGGAAAGGGCGCAAAACGCCCAGCATCCTCTCTGACACCAAACGGCCGTCGGTCCTGGAGGACTCGGACTCTCTGAGGTGAGCTTTGCCCGTCCGGGCAGGAATGTGGTTTTCTTAGGATGGACAGAACAGAAGCTGCTTTAGATGAAACAGTGGCGTGCTTTTTTCTCTCTTTCTAGTCTGCCCATGAGCTTTATACACTGGATCATGTCTGATATGTGAGGGAGCAAGACTTTTTTATGAGGTCCAGAGACGGAACATACTTTTTGCAGTATGACAAAGCAACCCCCCCCCCCCCGGGCTGTACATTCTCCCAGCCATTTACAAGCTGGTATCTACGAATGAGTGCCCCCCCCCCCGGCTAGCTAGTCTAATAGGTCCCACTCTGATCCGCAGCAACTCTTCAGGATCTCTGATCTTTCCCAACCCTGTTACCTAAAACGCTTTCCAACTCATTGCATGTCATTTTTGCAATGGTTTTGCTCTCATCCTTTTTTTAAAAAAAAATCAAGCTCGCTCGCTGCCTGTTGACTGATTTCTGGGCACAATTCCATAGAGCCTGCGTTGACCTTCAATTGACGGGCCCAACTCATTTGTTCCTAAAAGGAGTAGGAACTCATGAGTAGGGTGTGGGGGGGCCTCGGCTGTGTGTCCCTGTTTTCACGAGAGGTGCCGGGAAATTGATCTGGAACAGATGCTTTGCACATGCGGGCCCTTCCATGAAATTTTGTCTCTGAGTTGGGCTTATCTTGCCAAGACATTTGTGCATCCCTGATGTAGGGGATTCTTTTGTACCTGAACCAACAATATAGTACAGTGGGGTCTCTACTTAAGAACGTCCCTATTTAAGAACAATCCAACTTAAGAACAACTCCATTTGCTAAATTTTGCTTCTACTTGAGAACAGAAATCCAAGATAAGAACAGGGAAAAAAAACCTTTCCTGCTCTTTTTTTAACCTTAGGTCATCTTAGGTTAAAAAAAATTCTCCCCCTA